CCAGAGATTCATTTCAGCTTGTGGGGTCTACTCAGTGGTGGGATTCAAAAATTTTTACTACTTGTTCTGGGTGCGGCTTGGTGAGCGTGGCGTGGCTTGGTGGGAGTGGCAGGGGAAGGATACTGTAAATCTCCATTTCTATCCCACTCCAGGGGAAGGATACTACAAAATCCCCATTCTCTCCCCACCCCACTAACCTGCTTTCCAGCTCCGTTCTCCTGTGCAGGGCAACAAAAGAAGACCAAGCCGAACAGGTGGGACTCGTGAGGTGGAGAATAGATGGGGGCAGGACCTGTTATATATTTGCATACTTGAAATACTGCCTTTTGATTGGTCCGTCAATACTGCCTTTTGATTGGTCCGTCAATACTGCCTTTTGATTGGTCCGTCTTATATATTTGAATACTTGTAATACTGCCTTTTGATTGGTCCATCTGACGGCGGGAAATTCAAGGAGCCATCATTGGCCGCGAGTCGCGAGCAGCCGCTATAAAAGAGGCTGCCGCGGCTCCGCGGTTGTTCAGTTTTTGAAGAGACTAATAAAAGAGCTGAAGTCACACTGGTCTCGAGTCGATCTTTCCCGCGACATAACAGGACCAGTCAGTTGTGGTATTCCGAACTACTCCAAATTTCTGCTATCAGTTCTCCAGAACTGGTCAGAACCTGCTGAATGCCACCTCTGGTTCTACTCAGTGGTGGGATTCAAAAAATTTTACTACCAATTCTGTGGATGTGGTTTGGTGGGCATGGCAAAGGAAGGATACTGTAAAATCTCTAGTCAGAGATGGTATTTGCCGGTTCTCCAAACTACTCAAAATTTCCGCTACCGGTTCTCCAGAACTGGTCAGAACTTGTTGAATGCCACCTCTGGTTCTACTGATCTCAGTGAGATACTCTGTGAGATGAGAGCCACCTGGATCCTTACCTCTCCTACCTTATTTGTTTGGCCAGAGAGAAGCAAGAAGGAGCAGATTCATGAATGTGGATGACTCTTTGAAAACGGAAGTGGTAGCAATTGCCTTGTGAGGGGCAAGGGTAGTCTCCCTTCACAAGAGGCTGCCCTTGATGTGCAATTATGGACAAATTCCATTTAAAGAAAATAGCAACGCTTAGAGAGCGAGTGCCCTCACTAAGCTTTCAGTAAATCGTGTGCCTTTCCTTGGGCTCATGTGGTCAATGCCTCTTGAACCCCTCCTTAACTCAAGCATGAGATAGAACAGAACAGAGTAACAGTGTTGGAAGGGACCTTGGAAGTCTTCTAGTCCAACCCCCTTCTCAGGCAGGAAACCGTATACCATTTCAGACAAACATCAGACAAAGATCATAGGGCCAAGACAGCAAAACCCATGTATGCACAATATTTTAAAAGGAGAGCAAATGAAGAGGATTTTTTGTAATGAATATAAATAGTCAGAATGAAGTAAGGATTCTCATGGGTTTTAGTTTTTCACCTCCAACTAGACCAGTGGTCCCCAACCTTTTTTATGCCATGGCCCGGTACCGGCATCAGCTGGGCGCCGCGGCCCGGTACCGGCATCAGCTGGGCGCCGCCATCTTGTTTTGATGAAAAAGTGCTTCCGGTGAGCTTTCTACCCGGAAAAGCTCACCGGAAGCACTTTTTCATCAAAACAAGATGGCGGCGTCCAGCAAACCAGCGGCCCGGTAGGATTTGTTCCACAGATCGGTACCGGTCCGTGGACCGGTGGTTGGGGACCCCTGAACTAGACGACTTCTTGGAGCATTACAGGCTTGTTGGTATTCCAGGCTTCAGTCCAATTGGACAGTAGATGTAGATTCAACCTGCTCTCACTAGGAGGGTAAGGAGGAGTCCCAATCAGGGTATGAGCTGCAAGTACACTGATGTAAGAACCGGTGCTTTCCCATTTGTCCTGGCCCCTTGCTGCCCTCAGTCTCAAAGGTGGTTTCCTGCTTCCTCTTTGGGTCCTCTGTAGAGACCCTAGAACTGGTCAGAACCTGCTGAATGCCACCTCTGTTGCATTCAGATGAGGATCCAGGTGGCTCTCGTCTGTTGCTGTTGCAAGCTTTTGACAACTGCCAGCCACTCTCCCTGGGAATTAGACTTCACTTCCCCAAACTGGCATCACCAGCTTTGGGAAATGTGCTGGCAGTGGTGCTGGCAGCTTTGGGAAATGTGCTGGCAGTGGTGAGGACAAAATGGGGGAAACGCAAGTCACAGCTACTTTGAGATTGAGCCACTTGATAGACAGCTAGGTGGGTAAATAGAGTAAATGATTAGAGGAAAGATGATAGATAGATGATGATAGATTAAATTATGGATACCTAGACAGACCTAACAAGTTTATGAGGGAAAACTGAAGTGTTAAGCCCTCTTTCTCCAACAAAGCCTGCTAAATTTAGGTTCCAAAAAACAAGTGGGATGTATTTCTGCCAATGGACTAACCACAAGTTCTAAAGAACTACAGAATTTCAAGTGAAGTTGCAAAAAGCAGTACTAACCATAAGAAACTTTGCTCATGGCCTGACCTATAAATACTACAACTTGCCCGCACTCACGAGCTCCACTCAGAGCTTAAAAGATGCCAGGACCAAAGTGAGACAGACCTATACATCAACTACCATGCTGACTGTATCAAACGCAAGACCTACTTCATACGTCCCAACAACCACCACCCCTAACAACCAAAACTAGGCACAAACACTCCCAACTTCCTCCAGGTCCACCACAACAGACTGTAAATGCAAGCTACTGAACGCAAGAAACCTCTCAAATAAAATGCCTGAATTCCTCCTCCTCCTCCTAAATGCGGCCCTTTTCGATCTAATCTTTGTCTGCAAGATGTAGTTGAATGTATCCTTTCCAGACTCCATTACCACAGTACATGACTATCATGTTTTCCAATCTGACCGTGAAAACCGTAGAGGGGGTGAGTGTTGCCATTTTCCATAAAAAGTCCCTAGATCTGAAAAAGATTCAAGTTACACGGGAAATCGATCTTCCTAAGACCATCATCTGCGATCTGTCCATAAACTTAGCTTCTTACTATATTACAGAGCCCCTGATTACAACCTTGATCATATTAAAAGCAATTGCATTCTCTTCGCTGATGACGTAAAACTATTTAACACCACTGACAATACTTCTGCCCTACAAAGCAACGTTGACTACGTGTCATGCATAAGCACACCAGCGTGCCTACCATTCCTGTCCTACTGTTCCCATTTATTTGTACTCATTTATTATATATATACTTATACCTGTTTATATTTACACCTTTATATGTTATGTTCATACTTATACTTGTTTTCTTATACATGCTTGACAAACTAAATAAAAATAAAATAAAGTCTTGCAACTGAAGGTTGCAACTGAACGAGAAATAATTAGTTCAAATTTCAAATGCATTTGAAAGCAAAGAATTTCAGAAATCCAGATATATTTTCAAATTTGTACACAGTTTCCAAAAAGACTCACCCTGATATTTAAAAATGTTAAATGAATACAGTATACATGTTTTCTGAATTGGGAACCCTGCGTTACCATTCAATAGTTTTGTGGAAAGGGAATTTCACGAAGGCAGTAGTGTCACAAAAAAAACAGGAAAAGCCCAAGGGAAACATCAGGTCAGCCAGAAAACAAACTTACATAGGAAAAGGAATCAAATAAAAAGTATTAAAGAATCCCTATAGACAAAGGCCTAAGTAATTAAGAAAACTAGACAAATAGGAAAGGGAAACAAGAGATAATTTAGAAAACCCTTACAAACACAGGACATACCAAATAAGCAAAACAAACAGACAAAAGACACAAAATATAAATTACAAAAGGGACAGACAGGAGATTGCCACAGAACAAATATGAAAAACTATCTTAAAGCTAAAAGAGATTACAGAAAACCAATAATACAATCTGGCCACCCCGCGGAGTTTGCCCTCCAGCAGAAATAAAGACAAACTCAAACAGAATTTGAAACATTAGGCACAAATACAAACACTCACACAAAATCAATTTACAAAGGGAGAAAAGGGTATAAAAAACCAGGGACTTACCATAAGAAGCTAGCTAGCCCAGGAACGCAGACTTCTCGCTGTTCTCCGCCTTCCTGAAAAATAAAAAGATCCAGCTTTCAAGCAGTTGTCCGTATCCTTGCACCGGAGCTCTCCCAGAGGGAAAATCAAATCCTCGAAAGAAAGGCATTTTGACACCTTTCAACAATTTTTTGCTAATTACACCCTCATAAATCATCTTAAATAATTATTTAAGATCCCAGACGCCTATTTGTGATTTGCTGCTTTGAAAAATTAACATATCCAATGCTCCAACTTAATTTTTCACGGATGACATAAAAAGGTTGCTCCCTACTAGATTATGTTAGTTGCCATCTTTTATTCCTAGAAACTCCATTGATGTTAGAGATAGGATTCTGCTACAATGCAAAAAGCTTTTTGAACCAACACATAGTGAAAACTCAGTTATCCTTTTTGCACTTCTGAATCTTTCTAAGCACTTTATCATTCAAGCAGTAATAATGCATACTCTATTAGTAAAAACCTGCACAAAATTCATACATTTAGGAAAACTATATAAAATTATTCCTATTTAACCAAAATATGCCATATTGCAGACAATTGCACATATTTTGAAAAGGTATGTATTAAAGTTAGTATACACCAACCAGAGATAAACTGAAATGGACAAATTGAAAAAAAGCTACAAAGAATGACAGGTTTTGAACATGGCAAGATTGATTCAAATTTATTTTAATTGTACATGTTAGGATATATTAAGATTAGTATATTCTTAAGAATGGTAACAATGGACTATCAGATGAAAAATGCCAAATAGAATGAGAGCTCTTTAACATGCAGCTGATCAATTTACTGTATTCATAAATGAAGATAGTTGAACTGAATATATTACACACTATCAAATTGCAGACTGTGAAGCCATAAAAAATTTCCATTATGCAAGAAAAGGGAGACAATAACTTCCTCTTTGTGTGGTTTGTATAGCTGAGTTGCCAAAGAGAACTACACAGAAAACCTTCACAAGACAAGCTGTCAGCATGGACCAAGACATGGTTGGATACATTGTTCTTCTGGTGATTGTCACCCTCCTAAGTGTCATCCAAAATGGTAAGGCTGAAGATTGTATAGGAAACCAAGATTTGTATACAAACCCAAGAAAGAAAGATATATTTTGCTTTGGGTGGGTGGATTGATGTGTTTTCATGGACTTGTTTGTGAATGCCTTCATGCCTGTTGAAGTCATTTGAAAATTTCCAGCTATTTGCTTTTCGTTTCCTTCAGGGTTGGGGGTTTCCTGGATCAGACAGATTTAATTAACAGATAATCAGAGTTGGAAGGGACCTTGTAGATCATCTACTCCGACCCCCCACCCAAGCGGGAGACCCTATACCATGTCCAATCTCTTCTTGAAAGTCTCAAGAGATGGCACTCCCACAACTTCTGAGGGCAAGGTGTTCTATTGGTTGATTTTTCTCACTGTCAGAAAGTTTCTCCTTATTTCCAGGTTAAATCTCTCCTTGTTCAGTTTCCATCCATTATTCCTTGTCTGGCCTACAGGCACTTTAGAAAATAGCTTGACCCCTTCCTCTCTGTGGCAGCCCCTCAAATATTGGAAGACCTCTATCATGTCTCCCCTGGTCCTTCTCTTTACTAGACTAGCCAAGGCCAGTTCCTGCAACCGTTCATTGTATGTTTTAGCCTCCAGTCCCTTAATCATCTTGGTTGCTCTTCTCTGTACTTTTTCTAGAGTCTCAACATCTTTTTTGTAATGTAGTGAACAAAACTGGCGGCAGTACTCTAGGTGTGGTCTTACTAAGGCTTTATAGAGTGGTATTAGTAATTTGCATTAAGAAAGATTAATATGGATTAAATACAGAGAGTTATTTTAGTAGGATATCTCGGCAAAGCTCTTTAACAACCAATCCATACTCTGAATTAGAAATAATTAATGGAATTTATTTTGTCTAGCTCTTCAGACAAGAGGTGTAAGCAATAACCCTCTTTCCATTTTTCTCAAGAAAAAATAATCCTTCAGAATTTCCTTGATAGAGTCAGTGGAGACAAAATATTGCAAAGGCCTTCCTCATCAAAGAAGTCAGACGAAAATCCAGTCAGATGCGTCTGATACTTTTCAGCAAAAAATTCATCAATTTTGAAGGGTGGCTGTTTCAAAATTCAATATCTTAATAGTAAACCATTTGAATATTATATTTACTTTTCTTACACTTGAGAGTTTCTTTAGAAAAAGAGTGCAGTGGCACTACTAGTTTCCTAGCACCAACAATCTAATATGAATTGAAGCAGTTTTCAGTTATTATTATCTAAGATGTGGTATGCTTGATGTATTGCAGATCAAATTTCTTAATCCATTCCAGTTGCACTGGAGATTTATTTTCATCCTGCTTATCAGATTACTTTAATTAATTATATTAATTACATACCTTTGTTTGACTTGTTTCAATTTTGAGAAATGTGTAAAGATTTTATTCATACACACACAAACACACACAAAACATTTATTTTGGATTAAATGTATTGATATAATGATCAGACATTTGGGACTCCTTATAGATTTAATAAATACATGAGTTTTAGTTGATAAATTGCTGCTTCTTTTTTTTTCTTGGCAACCTGATGGCTTCCAATTTTGTTAAGGTTGCACCTCCTAGGACCTAGAACACTACAAAGAATGAGTTAAGCAGTTCTGCTTTCTCTCTGTTGCCTGTTACTTCCTTGCCATCTTCTCACTTTAGTGAACCGACTGTTTCCTTGATTTTTTTCTTGTTATTTATATGTTGGAGGAAACTTTTTTTATTGTTTTTGACTTTTGATGCAAGTCTTTGTTCGTTCTGAGCCTTTGCTATCCTGACTTCGTCTTTGCAGATTCTGGCTATCTGCTGATATTCTGCCATGGTCATTCTCACCCAAGGTTCCCGCAGTTTCAATTCCCTCTACCACTTCTTCTCTGTTTGTAAGAATTAAGTCCAGTATGGCTGTCCCTCTAGTTTCACCCTCTACCTTTTGGACAACAAAGTTGTCAGCTAGGTTGGTTAGGAACTTATTTGATTTCTCACTTGGTGCAGAATTAATTTTCCAATTGATATCAGGATAATTGAAGTCTCCCATTACTATTGTTGTGTGTTTCCTGCATATGTTTTTTAATTGGTTGGCAAAAAGGATCAAATTCAACAGTTTTAATATTATGCTTTTAAGTATTCAATATGGATTAATAGTATGCATCGTCAACTAAAATTAACTTGACAAAAATTGTAAGAGAAAAAGTTGGATGTGGCAAATTACGAACTGGACTAGAAATTTATTATCCAGCACTATATTTGCATTACTTGAAGCATTGACTTGGCCTTAATCCCTCAGCTCTCAAATATATGATTACCATCAGAGGAGTTTCTTAAAGATAACAGTTCTGGCCCTTCCTTCCTTCTGGAGGTTAAATTCCCTTCCTTTTTAATGATCCACCATTTTCTTTCAATAAGAAAATTCTTTGATATTGTTGAAACTAACAACAACCCCTATGAGTGTTTTCTCTTTACAGCTATTTTAGTTTCTTGTGAGTTATAATCGTTTTTATCCATTTCTTGACGTTTGCTGCTTATTTTGAACAACATTTTTTTCAGAGGGAAAAAGGTATTTTTTTTAACAACAGCTATAACAACCATCTGCCTTGTACTGATTCAGGTTTGTTGATTCATAGAGTTGAATATCAGTTAAAGTGATGGGAAAGGTTCTATATAGATGCTTAGAGTGGAAATGCCAGGAATTAAGTCTAGAATTTTTGCATGTAAAACATGGAATCTACCACTCAGTTGCAAGTCTTCCATTTCCTTGTTCCCTGCTGAGCTGGGTGAAATGTCTGGGGAAGGTAAGGGGAATGAAGAGGAAGAAGGATTGGGCCATATTCTCACTAGTCATTTACAGCATCTTTTTGGATCATCCAACCATCCTTATACTAAAATAATTTGACATTTATACTGCCTAGCTATAGGATAATGGCCTTAATAATGCTCTCTTTTTAAGACTTTAATTTCAGTACACAGATGTTCATGCAAGCTTCATGTTCAACTCAAATGGTAGTGAAAATTCCAGATGAAAAGCTGAACACCAAAAAACAAAAAAGGGTGTTTTTTTAAAAAAAGAACCCCACTGCAGATGTATTGAAACAATGTATGTGTATTTATGCATACAGGAATAAAACCATACTGTACATTCCATTTTGTTTAAAATGAATTGGAAGTAACTTTACTGGCAGTCTTCTATATTCTCTCCTTAGGTTCAACTCCTTGAAATAGTAGCATGAAATCAGTGCAAAAGTAACTGGACACAATAATTGGCACCTAACCATGAGTCCTGGCATCATTTCTGTTAAGTTCCATGGCATTGCTTTCATCAAGTCCTTGGCCCATGAGTGGGCACTTAGCTAGTTTTGGAGTAATGCTTTCCCCCTTATTCCAAATACATCCAAAGCCAGCCTTGGTTGTACAAAATCTCATAGGCTCTATCAACCAATGCCAGTAAACAAAGGCAATAGAATCAGAATAAGATCATCACATTACATACTGGTAGAATTTCCAACTGATTCAAGAACCAGTGGAGGAGACAGCAGCTCAGTCATGGGAAAAGACAGCTAAGGAGGACCTTCCTAGAACAATGTTTTCTAGTGCTAGATTGGAACCATTTACTTTACCTTACTTCTTTTTTCTTAAGACTTATTGAAGAATCACATTTCCATTATTTTACAGGCCAGTATAATATTTTGAAGTTCCCAAATCATTTAATAAGAACAGAAAGAAAATGAAAGTGACGGGACCTTGGTGCTCTCTGAACTGGGTTGTTTTCTTGCAGATGTTTCATTACCCAGACTAGGTAACAAGCACAGATGATATTACCTGGTTTGGGTGATGAAACATCTGCAAGAAAACAATCAAGCTCAGAGAGCACCAAGGTCCCCTCATTTCAATCCTGAGCTACAAATATTCTTTTTTAAAAAAAGAGTATATAGAAGTGAAATTTAAAGCAGAGAAGAGAGATACCAGTCTTCTTCTGTTTATTGATTCAGTTTAATATTTTAATAGGGTCATGGACCAGAATAAAAATTAAAACATTCAAATAAAATAAAATGGAATAGAAGATGATGTAACAATGTATTGCAGTTAATGGTGGAATCATCGAAGGGTGACCAATGTGCTAGACTTAGGGGTCCTCCTAAAATTTAGAGACAATTATATGATACAAATATCTTGCTGGTTTGTGAAGGGAGGCCTGACTGTTAAAGAAAACATTCTTGGGTAGAGCAGATGGATCCTGTTGGACTTCCTGGTTTTAAATACATTGTCTACGTGTACTAAGGCCACGCTCATAGCCCACCAATAGGAACTCCTACTTGCAGAAGCTGATATATTGGATTTTCAGTGAAATAGTCCTAATCCATGTTGACTTATAATTATCCTCCATAAGAAAAGGGCTGGGACCTGAAAAAAGAACAGTAATTTCAGCCAGCATGCTCTAATGCAGAATCCATGCATCTGTTTCAACCTTGCACAATCTGTCTCTCTTCTTACTATTAGAAACATAGGGTGCTATAGCCCTTAGAAATTTGGATTGCACTTTTTTTCCTGTTAATTTTTGTATGTTTTCTCTCATTATCCACTCACTTTTTCATATACCTCCTTCCTGCAATGTTCACAAATAACCAGCATTTTAAATTAAATGGATGAAATATGGAAAATTATTTCCAGCATCGAAAGAAAGTTCGTGTGTGAAAAGAGTTAAATTCATGATAGTGCTTCTTCCCTGAAATGCTCTCCAAAACTGCTTTTAATTTTTAAAAAATGGAATCCAGGCTTTGTAGATATGTGCAAATAAAGTCCAGATGAGCTCAGAAGGACAAGCTGCAGGCAGGAACAGCTGAATTTTCTGTAACCTTAAAGGCATGTCAATGCACAGCGAGAGTGACACTTAAGTCCACCAATGCTCTGGTTTTGTGGATCAATCTGAACTGGATGCAGAGACATGAGTGCAAAGCACAGACGAAGGAAGTACAACATTGGGAAACAAAGTTGAGGTTTCTTTTCAGGAAGTTGTGATGCAACTGTGTAAATGGACCTTGGTTGTTTAGGTAGAAAAAAGAAAAAAACTTTAAAAAAAGAAGGTGAACCTTTCAGTTAATTGAATTAAAGTACTTCCACCATGCCTTGAGCTGGCAGGAAAGCATGTCCAATTTCAATTATGCTGTCCCCTTAGTCATCCTTTAGTGTCACAGAAATCAGGCCAACTTTCCTTTTTCTGGGCCAAGTCAGAGATAGCAACTGAGGATTCCTCTGGTTCCATTTTCCCACCTATCTCATTTAAAATGTAATGATCCTGGTTTGGATACTGTTAAGCCCCCTGCTTAAGGAGGGGATGAAGTAGAAGGGAGCTTTTTCAGAATTCATGCTCAGGGTGACTTTTCCTCCATATGTATCTTGGGTGTTTCTAAGCATGTATTTATCACCATAGCACAATAGAAGCCTATGTTCAAAACTAGCCTGGGTTACAGGTCAGACATGCAAACTAGAATGTGGAGTGAAGCGAAATAAGATGATAAAAATGAACACAAACTAATATTAAGTAAAGAGAAAAAAAAGCAAGATATCAAAGAAAAAACAAAAAGTGCAAGAAAAGAAAAAACTAGTCCTGTTTTGACCTCATGACCAACAATGTTCTGGAAGTGTCTGAGAAATACCCATTTAGATAGTCACAGTAATTGTTATTCATCAAAGCATAATAACAACAGTAATGATAAATGGCATCTTAGTATGTCAAAATTGGAACAGTGTTGAACATACAACACTCCCCACCCAAGACTAGGTTAGCAATAGATTCTCAGGGAGAAAATGTGGTCGCTAGGAATAAAAAAACAATTTAATGGCACATAATCAATCAGTCAAGGAAGGAAGCAAAAAAATTAAAGAACAGTCATGAGTCAAACTCAATGTTGGCAGAAGCAGTAGAAAAGTACTTAATGATGGCAGAATTAAGAACATGCTCCTGGCAAACCTGGTTCTCTTTCCTAGTTTAAATTCACTTTCTGGGTGGCACAGGATTAGTGTCCTCTCTTTAAATACAGGACTAGTGTTTTCTAAGCCTATCTTTAAGTGGAGCCCCAGTTAGACTGACAATACCAGTGAGGCGTTATAAGGATAGAGGCTTCTGAAGAAGCCAAGGGTGCAACCTATCCTATAGCCCCAGCTAAAATGGCCCTGAAAGGCAGATTCTAGCCATTGGAAGGGAACAGGTATGTCATTCTGAGCTGGATAGATCCTATCCCGTGGCTGCACCAGAGATCATATCATCAGTAAAGCAGGCTAAACATGGCAAGAGAAGAGGGAAAATGTTATTTAACAGGAGCACAGCTAAGGGGATGCCTCAGCTCTTTGTGCTGGGGATGACACAAAGACTATTTGATATGGACATGAAGAAAGTGGCCCCTGGGTCGTTGTCATGCATCAGTTAAGAGGAAGTGACAAAATTCCTTAGTAATCATTGCTTTTTCTCAATAGAGCAAATTAGTATCTCTCTTCCTTCCTTTGTTCTTTGCATGCAGATGGCTATATAATTGTGAGCTAGCAGCTTGACAGTAGTGATTTTCAAACTTCCCTTTCTGCAGAAATGTCAGCCTGGAAACTTCTGGATACAGGTAGTCCTTGATTTACGACCACAGTTGAGCCCAAAATTTCAGTTGCTAAGCAAGACAGTTGTTAAGTGAATTTTGTCCCATTTTACATATAATGTATTCAACAAGTCAGTTCATTTCATCCTTCATTGTTTTGAACTTTCCCATATTCAAGCTTCTTATATTCCATCTTCACATTGTAATTCCATCTTTCAACTTTTGGATTTTATTTTTCTTCATGGCAACCTGGACAACTAGGTATCTCAAAGGCTTTACTCAAGCTACCCCATAAACACCCTTTGTTTCGATATGATCTTCATTTCTTCCTTGTTCCACGTTAAGTGCTATCCAACCCAACTGGTTTATTATCCAGTACTATATTACTAATCATTTTATATTTTCTATCCATGTGATTTTCTTGATAAAATACAGGAGTGTTTTACCATTACCTTCTCCCATACCATATGAAATTATGTCTTTGCCATTGTTCCATAAATTATAATCTGCTTCCAGCATCTTCCTATATCGTTGTTGACCTTATAATGCTTGCTTGCTTTAGCTGGACAGCTAGGATGATCTTGCTGATTATATACTCCTGGCATATAGTCCTCCAATAAACAGCCCACCACTACCATAATGAGATGGTACAGCAGGACTTTGAGGGGATGGGAAGAAAGCTTTTAATAGGTTGGGTTGAGTAGGTTTATTATATCTCTAACCATACTATTTTGAATTTTTTAAAAAACTTATCTGTTGCAATGCAATATTTCTGTTTCATACTGACATTTTGCTAGCTAGCTATTATATTGTCATAGAAATATTTTCACGTATTTTAACACATTGCCATTTTAATAGAAAAACTAATAATTTTAACTGTGTGCTTAATACAAATATTTCACATTGCTGTTTTTGATATTATAATTATATTCATGTCTTAGTAATTTTGGTATTCTACATCAAGAAAAAGCAAAACCTGCAATAAAAATTCATTGTGCTTTTTTTTAAAAAAAAAAACCTCAGCTTTTTTTGCAAGCAAAGTCGAACAAGAAAGCAAAAGCAACACAGGCAAAACAAATCAGAAGTGTTGTCCATCGGCTTTTGAACGTGTCTTTACTGCCAAGTGAGTATTACTTTTCATATTAATGTTCAAAGAGAGAAAAATTTCCATATACCTTATTTACTCTAAGTGTTGCAGATGTGGCTGCAAGAATGGCAAAATCTAAAGAGGTGTTTCTGGAACTCAAATCTGCTAAGGGTGTTAAATATCCCTGTTACAGAAGTGGCTTCCTTGAGAATTACTTGGAGCCAAGCTATACAGAATTTTGATTTTAAACACAATTGCTATCAACCTCATCTGCCTTAGAAGGCTGGCCTTCAATTATGAAGGTATTTCTTGGTTGAGTCAATGGAGATAACAGGGTATTTCGCTTATATATTTTGGCTGCAAGACTCCAGACAATCTTTAGTAGATAGTAGAGGGTTAATGTTTTCTATTTCTCTTTGCTGTCCTTTAGTGGTCATGCAGACTTTTGCAACCTAAATCTGGTAGCCTCAGCACCCGGTGGTCTGTACTGTGTGCGTACTGTGTCCACACAATCTAATTTTAAAAAATTAAGATGGGTGGCAACAGCAGTGCTATCAACACTCCACTTGGTTTCCATGTGTGTGCATGTGTTTATCTCAATCACATAGAATAGAATAGAATAGAATAGAATAGAATAGAATAGAACGGAGCGGAGCGGAGCAGAGTAGAATACTTTATTGGCCAAGTGTGATTGGACACACAAGGAATTTGTCTTGGTGTAAATACTCTCAGTATACATAGGAAAAAAAAGATACATTCATCAAGAATCGAGAATCGTAAGGTACAACACTTAATGATAGTCATAGGGTACAACAAGCAATCAAATCATACTAGGAAACAGACAATATAAATCGTAAGGATACAAGCGACAAAGTTACAGTCATACAGTCACAAGTGGGAGGGGATGGGTGATAAGGAGTGATGAGAAGATTAACAGTAATAGTAGTGCGGTAGTCTCAATCACATTTGTCTAATATATATATTACAAACTAATAAAAGCAGACAAGAAAAGAGAGGCAAGAAAAAGAAAACAAAAGCACAGGAAGAAAAAATAAAGAAGAAACTTCTGGTTCTCAACAACTTTTGTTTTTGTTTTTTGCTTTGCCTCCTAACAAATAAGCCATATTCTGTTTATTAAACTTGAGAATAATTTTACTTTCCAATATTTCAGTTGAACTTTTAGTTTGAAATATGTAGTTATACACACACATTTGTTCAAAAACATCGTTTTAATAAGTTTCCCTAACATGTTGCATTTTATACATTATTTTCTTAATATATGCACATTTTATATTTCCAGTTTTTAAATTCATGTAGCTACGGACTGTTTCATTGCAAAATACAGACAAATGTAAATCATGAAAACAAGATAAATGCAAAATAAACAAATCTCTTATGCATCCTTAGCAATGATCACACCGTGTGATATATAAAGCAGAGCACTGAGTCAGACCTACGTTAAACTAAACTTTGTGTAAATATTATTTATGCTGACCAATTTTATTTAAGATACTTAACAGATTAAGAGGTAAGACGGGATTTATTTTAGTTTATACACTACTTGTTAACTACTTTTTAAAATTTCATGGCTATGGATACATTCTCTTAATCTCATGGCATGTGCCCTCACTCTTCCTCTTCCTAATTTTTCTCTAGCCAAAATTGCAGAGATGCTTATCCTACCTTTCTTGCTGTCCTTTGGTGTGCTGGCCTGCTGTGCAGCCAAGGTGGGTAATCAATTCACTCTTCAGAGCCTGCTCTTCAAGGGTAGGCTGCAACCAGTTTAACAATCGGTTCTGTGAGCGCGCACGCAGCATTCAATAAACATCCATTTGAACCTCTCCAGCTCACTTTCTAGCCTTCCCCGATAAGTAGAACAGCTGAGGTGCGGCAATCCGCGAATCAGCTCAGCTGCAAAAGAAGGAAATGTAAGACATGATAGCACAGGGGTGAGTGGGCGGGGCCAACATCGTCGTTCATGAGGGTTTGCTAGAACCGGTCTGAACCTGCAGCAGCCCACCACTGCTGCTCTTCAGTCTGAAAAGCTCCCAGAGACAGACCTCAACTGTTTATGTAATAAAACATAACAAAAGGAAAAAGGGTGGAGAAAGGAAAGGGAAATAATAGATGCTAATTCTTATTATCACATGGACCTTACACTAAAATGTATTCCCCCAATCCCTTTTATTGTTGCTGAAGATTACAGAGTTGGAAGGGACCTTGGAGGTCTTCTAGTCCAATCCACTGCTCAAGCAGGAAACTCTATACCAGGGATCGCCAACCTTTTGGACCTCAGGGACCACCAAACTCATAATTTTAAATCCTGCGGACCAGAGACCCTGGGAAAATACCCCCAAAAGCCTGCAGGAAAATTCCCCACCCCGTTTGCCTACCGATCAATCGTTCTTTATTTGGGATCACAGGATTCCATCTCCAGCTCCGTTCTCAGGGAGAGAGGGAGAGAGAGAGAGAGGGAGAGGGAGGGAGGGAGAGAGAGAGACAGAGACCTTTGGCTTCATGGAAGGAAAACAACAGAAGCAGCAGAAGTCTTTCTTTCTCTTCCCCAAACTCCGCCAGAAATGAGTCTTTGCTGGCACAGCCTCTTGGAGCAGGAGGCCTTGCAGGGTCCCAAAGACTCATTTCTGGCAGAGTTTGGGGGAGAGAAAGAAAGACCGACTGCTTTCCTGCATGCAGCCAAAAGCAGAAGAAGAAAGAAGCTGAAAGAAGCAGCCTGGTGGCCAAGCGAGGCATGTGGGGTGAGTAGGGCAAGATCCCCCCCTCCGCCCTTCCTCCCCTCCCCTCACTACCTCATGTTGTTTGCAATGCAAGCAATGCAAGCCTTGTGTTCCCGCAGGCCATGTGGGCGGCGCAGCCTTGTGTTCCCACGCAGCCTGGATTAATTGCTTTGGGGGGGACATTTCTCTGTGGACCACCAAAATTTTCTCACAGACCACCAGTGGTCCCCGGCCCACTGGTTGGCGACCACTGCTCTATACCATTTCAGACAAATGGTTGTCCAATCTCCTTAAAAACGCCTAGTGTTGAAGCACCCACAGCTTCTGAAGGCAAGTCATTCCACTGATTAAGAACAAACAACAATACTAAATTTTCCTTTTGAAAGATTCTTGCTAGAGAGATCAAGAAAAGTAAGTGAGGTGGCTTCATTTAAAAGCTATGGGAAGAGATCTAATAATATACATATCATCCTAAGGCATACACCTAAAAACATATTTTATAGCACGATGTTGGCGTGAATGTAGGCCAACAGCCTTTTTCTTGGCAGATCTTTTATGCCTTTAATTATTCTATAGCAAGGACATTTTGGCATATCCTGACTAAAATGATGACTACTCAGATTCAAATATATGACGATGCAAATATATAATGCTTTGGAGAATAAGTTAACCCACTCTTCTCTATGACAGCCACTCAATTATCGGAAGACAGCTATCATGTTACCCCTGCACCTTATTTTTGTTAGGCTAGACATACCTAGTTTCCTCAGGCATTTATCATATTATTTAACCTCAAAAGCCCTTGTCATTTTTATTGCTCTTCTCTGTACTATTCCTCAGTATCTTTTTTGTATCATGATGACTAGAATTGGATGCAGTATTGCAAGTGTGGCCTCACTAGTGTAGTATAAAGTGACAGGGGTGGGATTCTACAGGTTTGCACCTATTCGCTAGAACCATTTGTTAACATTCTAAGCAGTTCGGAGAACCGGTTGTTAGAAGAAATTACTGACCTAATCCTGTAAGGAAGGCAGGAAAGAAATATTCTGGTGTTGCTTGGCAGACTAGACTTCCTGTCTCAGGAACTTCTCTGGAGTTTTTTCCCCTCCTTTGCTGGTACTTTGCTTGCAAGTGTGGAGTGACCATTCAAAGTTACAATGGCACTGAAAAAAGTGACTTATAACCATTTTTCACACTTACGACTATTGCAGCATCCCCACAGTCACGAGAGGCCAGGCGAGGAGATGCGTGCCTCGATGTGAGTGATGTTGAGTTGGCCACACCCAGCCAGTCACATGACCACCAAGCCACGCCCACCAACCAAGCCACACCCACAGAACCGGTTGTTAAAAAAATTGAATCCCGCTCCTGTAAGGTGGTACTATAACTTCCCGTGATCTTGATGCTATCCCTCTGTTGATGCAGCCTAGGACTACATTGGCTTTTTTGGCAACTGCAAGCACACTTAACTCTAAGTGGTGGTCAGTTAGAACACCTAGAATTCAGGGTGTTCAATTCAAACTCACAACCCGCTGGCCGGATGCATCACATGCTGGCCACACCCACCCCTGGTTTAGCAAAGGGGGGGGGAAGTCATGATACATGACATGATGTGACATTGCAAGTTTGACACCCGTGACCTAGATCTTTCTAATTATTGAACCAGGTTCTGCCTATTCTGTACCTATGTATTTGATTTTTCCTGCCTAAGTGCAGGATCTTACTTCTCTCACCACTGAACTGCATCTTGTTGGCTAGGGTCCAATGTTCAAGTCTGTCAAGATCCTTCTGAATCTTGAGTCTACATTACAAAGTGCTAGCTGTTTCCCCCGGGTTGGTGTGATTTGCCTTTGAAACTGCAGTTTGATACTTCAACCATTTACTAAAATGTTTTGGTAAACAGCAATCTTCTGTTAACCATGGTTCATGGTTTAGCAGAGTACATGAAACCAACCAGCTGTGATCTAAGCAATAAGCTATCATCAGCATCTGCAGAAGGACATGTGATATCATGTGCATTATGACATCATTGTGGCTTCTATTACATGCTTATGTAAACCATAGCATATGTGACTTATAATGATGTGTGAAGCCAGCCTATCTAAAAATAGTTTTCTCCTTTCTTTATTTCAGCTCCGGCTGCCTTTGCTGGGTTGATGTATTTGTTTGTGAGACAAAAATACTTCGTTGGCTACTTGGGAGAAAGGACCCAGAGGTAAATCCATTATTTATCTTTTTTCCAGATCTGTCAGATGAGCATTTATGAGCTATTTCTCCTTTCTACCAGTACTACAATTACTAAATTCATATTCTGTAATTCTAACTTGTCTCTCTCCAGATGTTTTAAACTACATCTCCCATAATCAGCTGGAATTGCAAGAGTTGTAGTGTAAAACATCTGGAAAAAACTAAGCCAGGAAAGACTGTTTCAGATTTGCCTTCTCAAGCTAATTCTGTCTGACAAATAAAAGGAGAAAAGCCTGCAATTCTAAATAGGATTGGGGGATTGCCAGGCAGAGGAGGAAATAAACAGAATCAAGGAAATAGATCTACCTTCTTTTGTTCTCTGCGGTTCCTTGTGCTTTAAATTCATATGCAAAAACCATCATATATTCATTTATTTTATTAAGTTTATTTGCTGCCCATCTTGCAGTTCTAAGAAACTCTGAGCATCTTATATGCATGAGTTACATATGTGCACCTAGTCACATATAGTTATATATGCATATAAAATGACAATTTATAGCACATCCAAGTGAACAGTTTTCTCTTTCACAAACTCTCCAACATTGTTCCTCACTATTCAGACAATTCCACATCCTTTCTGAGATCAGGATGCTAAAAATAAATTGGAACTATGCTGAGATCAGTAACTTATTTCTAAAGGTCACCATGTGCATTGGGTTCTTATTGGGTTCTTACAAAGGCGGAATTGTGGAACAGAATGGATGATTATATCCTGAAAGTAAGTCTTAACTCAAAATCAATTAACACAGAACAGTTGTATCTTAAATATTTAAGATCCCGAGTGTGCACTTCTGCAGAATGCATATGAAGAACATAATGTTAGATTACAAGGAAGTTGGATTTAAAACATAACCTAGAATTAGAAAACAACAAAAAGTTCATCAACCTTCATTGGGATTAGAACATCTCTTTCATCCAGTTTGCCTTTTCCAATGTCAGGCACCACAGGTTTCATAGTCAGTGCAGTGTTTTGTACGCAGGCCATAATCTTTAACAAGAAGCTATGATGTTAGCAGGAAGGGTGGTGTTGGAATTTTCAGTCCCCTATTGGGTGGGAGTGGGTACTGTTATTTGGATTCCTAAAACAGGCATTTTATAAAACTGTTTTCACAGGTTTACTGTATTCTAGAGATGATTTTTTAAAAAAAATCACACTGCCAAAACTGTCAATGTCATCTTAAGTAGGCATAAATTAAGAGGCATATTAAATCGATCCTCATGTATTTTAAAATGTATTGCATGGGATTTATGTGCTTATTTTACAACTCTGGTGTAGAGATGTGGGTTCATGCAAAATTTTACTTCCAAAATGTCTAAGCTATACTGTATTCAAATGGCTCGTGCTTTGATAACAGCTGGAGAGATTTTGGTATTTCCTAATGAACTAATAATATTCTTCCATTCTCGTTTTAGCACTCCTGGTTACATCTTTGGAAAGCGCGTCATATTTTTTCTGTTCCTGATGTCTGTTGCTGGAGTCTTCAATTATTACCTGGGTGTTTTTTTTGGAAGTGATTTTCAAACGCATATAAAAACTGTAACCAATGCTATCTCTCCACTATTGCTCATCCCTTAAAATCCTTGTAGAATTGAAGGTGAGATGGGACAGAAGACATGTCTGTACTTAGCCAATCAATATTTGGAGGAAAAAGGTTGAAATGGATGCATAAATCTCCTTTTAGGTTGCCATAAATCTAATGCTCCTTGACTCTTGTGGTTTTGATTTAACACAGCTTTTTTTCATCCTACAAAAAAGTGATTTATTGTACCCAACCAGCAGATTTGTGGTAGGAGAAGAATAATTTCCTACAAGTTACCCGGGGCTAAGCCGCTTTCCAAAAGGAAGTTTTATGTTTTCATGTTTTGTGCTTTGTTTGTCTATGTTTGTTTATTGAAAATTAATAAAAATTTTGGAAGAATGTTGGAAGAGAACATATGAAATTGTAAACAAGACAGACGAAAGTATAAGTATAATGAATAAAAAGATATAGAATAGGTAAAAGAAATACAATTGAATAAGAAGAAAATGAGATAACCATAAAAGAAAATTAAGAGAAGTAAAGGGAGAAATAGGGAGAAGTTGGAAAAAGAGTAATAAGATATGAAGTTGAATACATAAGATGAATATGCATATGAAATTGTGTCTGTATGGAAATGTGATAACCTGGAACTATGCTGTACTCAGATGTTTTATTTGTTTTGTTAAAACTTAATAAGCAACTTTCAGAAAAGATGTT